ATAAAAAGAATTAAATAAACTCCAAACCATTGCGTCAAAAGTGGAAATAGCTTTTCATCTATAAATGTGGCAAAAAACTCATCAACATGAAATTAACAGAATGGAAAATTGAAATGAGAAAAGTAGAGTCAACAAATTCCCATTGATGTTTTGCAGTCACTCAGGAGAGCCAAGAAAAGACACACCCAGGCTTTAGTTATGCATTTGATGCAATTTTCTGTCATAGAAATTTATCTAGTCCTAGTAGTTGAATCGATTGGGCATATTGATGTGACCTTAAAAATGCTTACAATATATCTTTTTTAAAAAATTAAGTCTGGCATTCATAAAGATGTTATAACACATGTTAAAATATTTTATTTAACTTATAAGAGATTAGCAGATACGATAACCAGTAGAAAAAAAGAATCCAACAAACAGCTAGAGGAATATTAACCAGGAGTATTTAAATGAGTATGTAAATGGTAAGAAAGCTCATTTCCTTACTATGTGAGAGGAGAGAAAATTGACCCTGGACTGGACAAGGCATTGTGCGTGTCTATCAGTGACCTATAACTTACAAAGGGTTGCAAAAATACTCACATAGAGTGCAGGCTAGAGTCAGATAACCTGGTGTGGTATCTTCTAAACAGGGTAAAGTTTTCCACTGAAGAACGCATTTTTTTCTTTTTTTTTTTTTTTTTTTTTTTTTTGAGATAGAGTCTCACTCTGTCACCCAGGCTAGAGGGCAATGGTGCAATCTCAGCTCACTGCAACCTCTACCTGCTGGGCTCAAGCAATCCTCCCACCTCAGCCTCCCAAGTAACTGTGACCATAAGCGATGCCACCGCACCCAGCTAATTTTTTGTATTTTTGCTAGAGATGGGTTTTTGTCATGTTCCCCAGGCTGGTCTCAAACTCCTGAGCTCAAGTGATCCACCTGCCTCAGCCTCCCGAAGCGTTGGGATTACAGGCATGAGCCACCACCACCAGCCAGAGCGCATTTCTTTCTATAATAAATAGTCAAATGAAAAGTTAGGTTTGGTCACTAGGGCAACAAGGTCCTAACACGGGCACTTCTAGGCCAAGTGTACACCAATGGCATCCCAGTGAGGGGCTGGCCCACAGGAACACAGCAGTGGAACTGAGCACTGGCATCTTGAATGGCCCAGGCCAGGGGCAGGATCAAGCTGGGCCAATCGGAGCAAAGCTCCCTGTCTTCATCCTTTTTGTGTTGCTGTCACACAACCTAAGAATGGATAATCTATAAAGAAAAGAGGTTTATTTAGCTCAGGGTTCTGCAGGCTGTGAACTGTAAGAGGCATGGGGCTGGCATCTGCTCCGCTTCTAGAGAGGGCCTCATGCTGCCTCCACTCATGGTGGAGAGTGGGAGGGGAGTGGGTGTGTGCAAAGAGATCACATGGCAAGAGGGGAATCAAGAGAGAAACCAAGAGAGCCAGACTCTTTCTAACAACGTGCCCTTGCAGAAAATAATGAGAGTGAGAACTCACCCCCGGAAGAGGGCATTCTTTATAAGGGTCCACACCCATGACCTAAAATCCCCCACTAAGCTCCATCTCCCAACCCTGCCACATTGGCATCAAATTTCACATGAGATTTTTGATTTTTGTTTTTCTGACAGGGAGTCTCGCTCTGTCGCCCAGGCTGGAATGCAGTGGCGCGATCTTGGCTCACTGCAACCTCCACCTCGCGGGTTCAAGCGATTCTCCTGCCTCACCCTCCCAAGTAGCTGGGACTACAGGTGTGCAACACAACCCCGGGCTAATTTTTTATTTTTAGTAGAGACGGGGTTTTGCCATGTTGTCCAGGGTGGTGTCACACTCCTGACCTCAAGTGATCCCCCCACCTCAGTCTCCGAAAGTGCTGCGATTATAGGTGTGAGCCACTGCACCCAGCTCAACATGAATTTTGTTGGGGACAAATCACATCCAAGCTACACCATTCACTAAACCTCGTGTCTAGAAAAAGGAGACTTTTAGAGCTCCTATAGGCTTAGGAAGCTGCCTGGCACCCTCAGCAGGAGCAGAGCTGCCATTCCCCCGAACCCTGTGGACCCCTCCTGTGGGAGATCCACTGTGGCCAGTGGCTTGCCCCATGAGCACCTGATTTCCTCACTGCCACTGTTGAGGATCTGATGGCTGATACCCTGGTGGGTAATGAAGCCCACAACAGCCACAAAAGGTGCAACTATATTGTAAGATAATATAAAGTGTATATATAAAAATTATACATAATAGGCATTATAGAGTGTAGGCACATATATATATAAATATTCTGGCCAAAGACATGTATTCAAGTGGTTACTAGTTATTAAATATTCATGATCAGACTTATTTATAAATACATTTTATTACAAACACAATTACCCATCTCAGATGAAACACCTAATCTGTCTAATGATTACACACTTTACAGAGCTTCATAGAGTTATCAGTGGCTGAATAAATGCTTTTCGAGGTAAAATATATTCCACATAAAGTCTTATCCAAGAGATAGACTCAAAACCCTTGTCTTTTTTCTTTTTTTTTTCTTTTTTTTTTTTTTTTTTTTTTGAGATGGAGTTTCAATCTTTCGCCCAGGCGGAAGTGAAGTGGTACAATCTCCGCTCACTGAAACCTCCAGCCCCCAGGTTCAAATGATTCTCCTGCCTCAGCCGCCCGAGTAACTGGGATTACAGGCACCCACCACCACATCTGGCTAATTTTTGTATTTTTAGTAGAGACAGGGTTTCACCACGTTGGCCAGGCTGGTCTCGAACTCCTGATCTCAGGTGATCCACCTGCCTCGGCCTCCCAAAGTGCTGGAATTACAGGTGTGAGCCACCATGCCCGGCCTGAACCCATGTAAGCCTTGCAAGCACTTTCATGGACTGCATTAAGATAAAAATGGGTGTCTCCCTCCTTCCCAGTGAAGTAAAAAAAAAAGTTAAAAATGGGTGTCCCATCAAATGCAACAATCTTAACCTCATTCTCATGAGTAGCAACATTTGAGGTTTTCTCCTGTTCATCAAAAGCTCAAACGACACGCTCTGCTACCTGTGGCCTTTTCATAAAGAGCTGGCAAGAGGCTGCCTAACTCACCTGAAGTACAATCAGATGTACTGTCTTTGAGACATCAGTTTACCACTTACCAGCCATGCAATCCTATCTATTTATGTATTCCATCTAAGTGGCAGTTTCCTCATATAAAATAAGGATAATGAGTTCCTCCATTGTTGAGTTAGCCCAAAGAATAAGTCACTTGGAGCCTGTAACCTGCTGTTAGCACAGGGCTTGGCACAGTGTGCCTTGAGTAAACAGTGCATCTGTCTGCTGTATACTCCAGATACTCACGTGTGCCTCCCAAAGATGCACCTGGGCTGGGTCCTCATGTAATTCCTGGATTATTGCGTCCCAGGCTACGAAACCACACCCTACTGAGCTTTGTAGAGCACCAATCAGAGCAGGAGGACGGAGCTGGGAGAGTGAAGTGCAATCCACGCTGGTTTCCTCTCTTCCCCACTGCCTGGTGACCCATACACTCCACCTCTTCCCACCATCAGTCAAGGCAGCAGGACCTGGCTTGGTTTTGCCTGCTTTGCAAAGACAACCTAAGAATGAGATAAATACTACTGGGATTGTGCTTAGAATTCATTGAATTTGTGCTTCTATAATACAAAAGCCTTCATTGTCACATAATGTTCATTAATACCCATACTTAGAGAACTTTCACTGGTCATATGTCACCCAAACAAATTTTGGATTTACTATAGAAAGCCATGAAGCACCCTAAGCATTAGCTCAGTAAGCACAGACCATGGTGATTCACACCTGTCTGAGTCAGGGGCTGACATAAGATTGCACCATCCCCTGTGCAGGGATGTGGGGGCACAAGGGGCCAGAAGGGGCTGGGGTGGGGAGAGGGTATCAGTGGTGGGATTTTTCTCTAAGGGTTGTGCTGCCTTCTCCCCTGTGGGCATCCCAGCTTTTGGAGAGCACCCAGGATCTGGAACTTACTCCTTTCTGCCTGTTTGCCACCACTCTAGACCCTACAGTCCTCTGCATTTCCACCTACCCTGCACCTAGAGCTCCCCACGCACCCCAGGGGACCACAAAGGATGGTTAACTGGGCACCTGTCTCCAAAGAGTTACTCTCCTCTCTCAAATACCCATTCATACTTGGCTTAATCTTTCAAGATACATTTTATGACCTATAGCAGCAGTATATTCACTTTATTGTAAGTAGGAATTAGGAATATAAATGCAAAAAAAAAAAAAGTCGCATTTTCTCTTCCCATTCTACAGAATTTTTTTGCTCCATTACATAGGAGCTCGCACTTCCCTGCCTCCCTGTGAGATGCCATGCACCTGTTGCAGCTGCCAGCAGTTGTTGCCCCATGACCATTCCCCTGCTCTACCCCTTACCCCAACACACTCCCTCTTCCCTTCCCAAAGGAACCCAGTCTTGTGCAGGGGGTTGCCTTCCTCCACACAGCCACAGGCTCGGACACTTCCCTGTCCCTGCTGGTCTTGGGACAAGCAAGGCGCTTCTAGCGGATGGGACAGGAGGGGAGGCTGCTGAGAGGCTTCTGGGAAGCATTTCCTGTTGAAGGGAATTATGGCACACCCTTCGTGGGAGGAGAGGGGATGCCTGATGTCCAGCACCTGGGCCAGCGGCAGCTGCCTCCACTAGCTGACAGCAGGCTCGGGCTGGGTCTTGCTCCCCTGTAGGCCAGCTGACTCCAGAGTTCCTTCCTTACAGCTCAAGACACCCAAGTTGATGTAACCCACAGTTTGAGAAACACTTCTAGAAAATTCACCTGGAGAGGCCCAGCTCAGCTTTCCCTGCTGAACTTTGGGATGACACAGCTGGGACCATCCACAGTGACTCACTGCAAGAAAAGGGTGGCAGGAGGAGGAATAACGACTGTCCCCACACAGCCTCATGAACATTTCATGGGCACCCTGGACACATGCTCATCTTACCAGCACTTAAATATTTATTTTAAAAATCCACATCACTTTGCTTTAAAAATGTTTATTTAGCGCCTGCAATGTACAAGGCACTGTGTTTGGCGCCATGAGGAATACAGAAACCAACAAGGCATGATTCTTGCCTTAGGAAGCTCACAGTCTAGCGTGGGAAATTAGAAATTGCACATGCACACAGGTAACTGTCACACCAGGCAGGAAGCACTAAATGCTGAGATTGATACCAACATTACAAGAACCCAGAGGAAGAAAACACTATTTGGGGATGAGAATGAGATTAGAGAAGGTCCCTTAGAAGTAGGGGGTTTAAACATGACAGATCAAATGTAGATAGGAAAAAATTCAGAGGAAAATGTAATCAGGGAAGGCTCTAATTGAAACCAGAAGCAGGAGGTACTTCTGTGATATGATGGAGGCAGAAGAAGCCCGCTGGGTTGGATTCAGAGGGGAGGGGAGGGGAGGGGCAGGAGGGAGTAGAGTGGGAGGGGAGGCTGGAAAGATGCATGGGGATCAAGACGGGAAGGTGAGTATGTGAGTATGTGTGCCAGGCAATGGCGTTTCCGTTTCAATGGAGGTTTCTCAAAGAGAGGTGATTTGGCTGGAGAAAGCTTAATCTGGTGGCAGTGGCTTTAAGAATGGGGGAACAAGGGAAGGAGGCCGGTTTGAAAATGGTAACAAGGGTCTGGACTCGAGTGATGCGGCAGTGACCATGAGAACAGAGCAGTTGCAGGTGGAAGATGGAGACAGAACTGGGGAGATCCGGTGGAGGTGAGGCAGGCAGAAAGATGATGGCAGGTTTGTACCTAGAGACGCATGATCCATTCACAAAGCCAGGGAAACCTAAACAGGAAACACTCTGAATTTGAGGACAGGAGGGTAGGGCTGAGTCTGAGACATGGCTGGCCTCCAGGTGGAGGGCTCAAGCAGGCAGGTACAAGCTGGATGAGAATTCAGGGCAGAGGGCAGAGCTGGAAACAGACCAAAAGCTGCCATGCAGTGGCGAGGCTGGAAGCAGTGGCACAGGCCGAGGGCTGTCTTGCCGGAGAAGGGTGGGTACAGCACAACCCTGTGGCCACGTTTTCCTCACATAGGAAATTCCCACAGAACACTGAGAACGGGGACGATGCCTCCCATGAACAGTGCCGTGTGTCTCTGCGTCCCCGATTTCACACCTAAGAAACAATGTCTTCAGCTGTGTGATAACAAGTAGGAACACTGCCTCCATTATGGAGGGTCATCTCTCCAATGAGAGTTTTTAAATTTTTCATTATTATTTATTTTGAAGAGTTTTCTGTAATGAAACTGTTTCTTCTGAAGATTTCAGAAAAGCTTTCGATGTCTGTCACCTCACCATGTCTAAGAGGTGGAAGGGAACTGAAAGTCATCTTCCCGCTCATTTCACAAGTGAGGAAGCCAAGGCCCAGGCGGGCCAAGGGTCTTGCCCAGCATCTCACCCAGCAGGGATGGCTCAGCTGGACCCATGAGCAAGGACAGTGCCTGCCCTCCCCAAGTCACTCCCCTGGGCAGTGGCTGCCATCCAGATGCACAGAGAGATGGGGAGGAAGGAAGATGACAGACAGACAGACAGATACATAGGCAAGAGGGAATGGGAATAACACATAGATATTTTAACTTTTCAAGAGAGGAAAAGGAAAAAATGGCTTGTGATAGACATTTTTTGGACCCACCAAAGCCTTGCATATCTGAAAAGAAAATTACTTTGGCTTTCTGGAAACACTACACTGCATTTAATCAAAAAATAGACTAAATTATGACACATCACATCCAGTAAGCTTCATAGCAGCCGCAGTAGGAGTGACGGCATTTCATGTTGGTGTCCGCATAAGCGTGGAAAGGAAGTTTGCAGGGAAATAAGGTCAGCAAGAACCAGACCTCAGATTGTTTCACCCAACACAGAAGAAAAACACCCATGGCAATTCCCTTTTGGAAAGTTAAAGCTGATCTCCTTGGAATGAAGTTCCAAATACATCCATTTCCACAGAAGATGGAGGAAAAAAGACAATTACATTTCAAATCTGTAAGTCACAAATAGACAGGCAGAGTTCTGGCGAGCCGTGTCACAGTTAACCAGTTTGAGGACATCAGCGTCTTCCCCCAGAGTCTGTAAACACACAGCTAGTCAATTTCCTAATGAATGCTTCCCTTTAACGAAGGCCGCTTCAGTCCACCCTGCAGGCCTGCTAGAGTCTTCCAGCAGCACATCTCAGTGGCAACCATCAGATTTTCCAAAAAATCTTCTTTCTATAGAGGATGTAGGCAATGAGCACCCAGAGGGCAGTGGCAATGAGGTTCTGAGTCAGGTGCTCCTTGTGGGACTGGTTGTCTTTCAGCTTCCACTGAAAGGGGAAGTAGTTCTCAAACACCTCGTGGCCGACGTACACCAGAATAGAATTCATTCCTTAAGGAGAGAGACATACAGAAGATCATGTTTCTCACAGATGAGTCATATCTGACCGTCTATTTAATTCTTGAAACCAGTTCAATGAAAAAACAAAAAGTGTGCACTTCCATTGCTGGCTACTGCCAAAAATAAGTAATGCATATCTTAGGTATTTAAGTATAAACCATATAAAAAATTATTCAAAGGCCTGGTGCAGTGGCTCACGCCTATAATCCCAGCACTTTGGGAGGCCAAAGTGGGTAGATCGCTTAAGGCCAGGAGTTCGAGACCAGCCTGGCCAACATGGTGAAACCCCGTCTCTACTAAAAATACAAAATTGGCTGGGTGTGGTGGGGTGTGCCTGTAATCCCAGCTTCTTGGGAGGCTGAGGCACAAGAATCACTTGAACCTGGGAGGCGGAGGTTGCAGTGAGCCTAAATCACACCACTGCACTCCAGCCTGGGCAACAGAGCAAGACTCTGTCTCAAAAAAATAAAAAGGATATTAGAAAATATTCATTTTATAACAGCGTAATTCTTGAATACTAAATCTCAAAGGAAAGCTAAAATTGTTATAACTTATATTTTCTAGGCAGAAAATCTGCCTAGAAATGTAACTATTCCTCGAATCAAACAGCTGAAATGAGGCATTGAAATGATCTGGTGTGTTTCTAAGTCCTTGGGTGGAACTGCATCCAAATCATTCCATTTATCCCTTGATATCACCTCTTGGTATTTCTTCTAATGCACAATCTCTACGGTAGTGGATTTATATTAAGAAAGCAAGCATAGTCCCATTATTAAGAACCAGAAACTGGATAATGTGCCCCGAATCATTTCTGCTCCTCCACAATTTGGTATAGCCTGAAGAAACGGGTGGAGTCACAAACTGTCATACAAGGACTCCACAACCTACATGGGTGAAAATGGGGTGGACTGCTTCAGAGCAGGCCAGTGACACCTGGTGTGACCTGGGACAATGTGGCCCCTGCTGCTTCCTCCCTCAGCCTGGCTTTTGGACACCTGCCACTAGGGCAGTGGCTCAAGACCCCAGCACTGAGGATGCTCCAGCGGTCCCTGGGCCCGCCCCCCTGGTCACCACCCCAGCTATGTTTGGGGTTGGAGGTGACTTACCTGGATAAAAGAATGGGGTTCCTGTCCACAGCCCCTTCACATCCACAACCGGGTACAGGACCAACAGGATGAAGAAGGCAAAAGAACTGAGCGTGGTGACATACGAAAGGGACCTGGGAGGGGTGGAGGAGGCGTTTCAGTGCTTGTGCAGAACGAATCCAATTTCAACATGAACAATCATCCATAAAATCATGCTTTTTCCATACATACCAGAGGTTTTTGTTTACTGGAATAAAGCCTTCATTTTCAGAAACTTTCGTCAGAACAACAGAAATGAGCCCCTATAATGGGGAAGAGAAGGATGTTAACATTTTATATTATTATCTCAGAAAACATTTGCTTTCAACATCAATATATATTAGTTATTTAATCACGTAGAAAAGGCTGAAATTTTTCTCTTTTAACTGGAAACACATTTTTTAAATGTATGAACTAAAAAATATTCTCCCAAAATCTCATCACCATTCTACTGAGTTGAAGAGGGTAAGCTTACTGATTAAATGACAGTGACTCCAGAGAAGAGGCATGACTGCAGTCAGGATGAAATACACAGACAGTCAACCTTGCAACTCTCTTTCTGTAATCTGGAAGTTGATGTCTGCAACCTGGTCTGATTTGCCCAGTCTCTCTGATACACCACTCCACATAGAGCCCATGCTTCACATTTCTTCAGGCATTCCTGGCTGTCTGATGGCAAACACTGTCTTATTGATAAAGACATTTTCCTAAGAAAATAAATCTGTACATTTAGGTGGAAAGATTTGTTCCTCTCTGCTATTCAAGTGAAGAAAATGGTACCTGCTGCCATGTGGTGACAATGGCTATCTCAGTGTTGCTGAACATTTTATTCCTTTTAAATATACATGTGAAGGAAAGGAATTTCAGTGAGGAACGCTGCTTACTTACAAGAATACAACACCAAGCAGTGAATCGAATCAGGATGTCTTTGGTCTGAGCCTTGTAATACAATAGTATTTTTCCTGCCTGGAGGAGATAACACAGTGTGACCAAAAGAATCGCCAAAGGGATATTTTTATTTCATATTCATCCACTGTCTTAACTACGCGACAAAGAGATTCACTTGCTGGGCATGCTACTAGGTGCTGGAATTACAGGGAGGGGGGAAACATCACCCCTGCCTTTGACTAGTGGAGGCTGAAGGAGGACCAGAGATGAACACCCTCTCTGGGAAGGAGGAGACATCAGAGAGGAGGAGGCATCAGAGAGGAGCCACAGAGGTGAGGCCAGAGCACCAGAGGGTCCCGGTAGGAAGAGGCTCCTGGGCAGAATGGGGCAGCAGGCACAGAGCTCGGGGGAAGCGTGAGAGCCACACCACATCTCCAGTGCTGCAGGGAATGCAGAAGCCCAGGGTGTAGGGAAAGGAGGAGAAGAGGCGCCTGGGCAGGCTCCGTGGCTCTCACTTCCAGGCAGGGCCCAAGGAGAATTCTCCACAAAGGTGACAAGGGTCCCCTTAGACAGGCCTGTTCGGTGACCCAGTCTGAGCAGCACTAGGAAGAGGGACCGGAACAGGGTGGAACCAGAGGCAGGGTGGGGGAGGCAGGGAAACATTTAAAAACAGTGAAATATGGACTTTACATATAATCCTTCTGAAATTAGGAATTCATTTTTGAAAATATCAAAGGTTAAGAAGCTTTAAAAATAATTTATAGTAATAGCTAATATTAATCAATGTTTTTATGTGCCAGTTCTTGGAACTTTACATGAATTAACTTATTCAATCCTTGCAACACCTTTCTGAAGTAGGTGCTGTTGAAGCACAGAGTGGGTCAGCCACACGCCCAAGGTCACCCAGCTGGGAAGTGGCAGAGCTGGACACAAACCCAGGTAGTGTGGCTCCAGGTCTGCACTCCTAGCCCCCCCAGTGGACTGACCACTCCAGGGACACAGATCTACCTAGAAAGCATATGTAGGGATTACATGGATGTATGGAAAAGCACAATATCAACCAGAAAGTGCTACAGAGATAAAGGCAGTATTTCTAAATACAAAATTATTTCATCACCAAAATGTACAGCTGGCCCTTGGACAACACAGGTTTGAACTGTGTAGGTCTGCTTATACGCGGATTCTCTTCCACCTCTGCTACCCCTGAGACAGCAAGACTGACCCCTCCTCCTCCACCCCTCCTCCTCCTCCACCCCTCCTCTTCCTCCTCCTCCACTCCCTCCTCTTCCTCCTCCTCCACCCCCTCCTCTTCCTCCACCCCTCCTCCTCCTCTTCCTCCACTCCCTCCTCCTCCTCTTCCTACACCCCCTCATCCTCCTCCACACCCTCCTCCTCTTCCTCCTCCTCCACACCCTCCTCCTCTTCATCCACACCCTCCTCTTCCTCCTCTTCCTATACCCCCTTATCCTCCTCCTCCACACCCTCCTCCTCTTCCTCCTCATCCACACCCTCATCCTCCTCCTCCTCCTCCACTCCCTCCTCCTCCTTCTCTTCCTCCTTCTCCTACTTAACATGATGATGAAGATGCAGACCTTCATGATGATCCACTCCCACTTAGTGAATAGGACATAGATTTTCTCTTCCTTATGGCTTTAATAACATTTTCTTTTCTTGAGCTTACTTTATTATAAAAATACAGTACACAATATTTTTATAAAATATGTGTGAATCAACTGTTGATGTTATTGGTAAGGCTTTGGGTCAATAGCAGGCTATTAGTGTTTAAGTTTTGGGGGAGTCAAAAGTCCTCTGTGGATTTTCCACTGCATGGGGGGACAGTGTCCCCATGCCCCGAGGTGTTCCAGGGTCACCTGTGTAGGCTTCAGATCTGCACTACCCAACAGCCAAACCACTAGCCACAAGTGACCATCTAAATTTAAAATTACATCAAGTAAAATTTAAAATTCAGTTCTTCAGTCACACTCACCACATCTCAAATGCTCAACAGCAACCCTGGCTAGGGACTGCCCCACTAGATAGCA